GTTCTATTTATATTTTAATAGTTCAAAATATAACTACTCAGAGATATTGCGATATTGTATGAATATATTTGAGGAAGTTTCAGCACTTTGTTTTATTTGTTGTGATAAGAATAAATTTTATTAACTTTTCATCGAACTTGTGCATTGAATCCATTACGAACCCCTACGCACGCGACACTTTTTGATGTCATAAGACGGATTCGAATGCCAATCATAAGAGCGATGGAAGAGCGATTAAGGCGATTCATGCAGTCTTTGCTGCATTTAAAGAGGCGATGAAAGATTCTGTTAAAGAAATGGAAGCGGCCCAAGGAGAGATGAAAGCGGGAGAGGGATCAGTTAAAGAAAAAGATGAAAACCAATCAAGAAAGATTGAAGCATGTCAAAAAGAAATGAGAAGAGAAATTACCTGCATAATAGAAAACAAATTTGAAGCTATGGAAAACAAAATGGACGTGGTTGAAAATAAAGTTGGACAAACTGAAGAGCAAGTTTCTTCTGTCAAGGAACAAATAGAAGAGAAAGTTTCTGCCGCAGAACAACAAATAGATTACAGAGTTTCTTCTGTGAAAGAACAAATAGAATAGAGAGTTTCTGCCGTGGAAGAACAAATAGAATAGAGAGTTTCTGCCGTGGAAGAACAAATTGATGACACAGTTTCTGCGGTCTCAAAAGAAGTTAATACCTTAAAGAAATTCGTAGCTATGACAGGAAGCAGTAGAGATGGTTTTAAATTTCTACCCATGCCCCTTCTTCCCTTTCTGAAGCTATCGACATATGATGGGAAGATCTCCTGGCAAGTGTATAAAACACAATTTTCTATATTGAAGGATGCAAATGGATGGGATTCCCAAGCTAAGGCCTGTCATCTCGCAGCTTCTTTGAAAGCAGACGCAGCGGATACCCTTCAGACTCTTCAATAAAACCAAAGGTTAGATTTCGAAGCTTCGCCCAGCGCATTGGAGCTGAGATTCGGAGAGAAATGTTTAAAATACTACACTAGGCTTCAATTAAAATCCCGTCAACAGAACTGTTTCTGCAGTCTTTCATCGATGGCATTCGAAAATACAGCAAGCTCTACGAATGGTGGATATTAAAAAAGTATTTCTTAAAAATACATAACCTAAAAAGGTATTTCTAAAAATAAAGAGAAAAACGAATAGCAGAGCAAAAATACGATGCTTTTATTGGAATTACAAACTATAGCTATTCTTTCGAACGACAGTATCGCGAAGCACGATCTCCTGATGACGACAACACTCACTGTTGCCAGAACTTATCTAAACTATATATTATATTATTATTATTTTTATTAACATACTTTAATACTTCCCCTTGTAAAAAAATAATAATAATAAATTAAAAGAAAAGAGTCACAAAAGTCCCATCTTGTCACAAAGAATTAACAGTCTCGGTTTAAATAAAGGTTTAGTCATTTGTCAGCAACTTGCGCCTCTGTAGGTACCTGCTGCACAATGATTTCCTTTTCTAGAACTTTCTCTCGTATGAAAAAGTGCTTGATATCAATGTTTTTGTGCGTCGATTGAAACTCCGGGTTTTGTGACAGTCTCACTGCAGCGGCGTTTGTCTACTTGAATTACTGGAGTTTCACGTAACTTGGTTACATCACTAAATAGTCGCTTTAACCAAATTACTTCTCTAGAACATTCACTAGCTGCAATTACTTCTGCTTCAGTCGTCGAAGTTGCAACAACTGTTTGCCTTTGGCTAATCCATGATATAGCTCCACTATATAATATCACTACTCCACTCGTTGATTTTCCTGTTTCTTGACAGCCTCCAAAATCTGCATCACTATAGCATTCTAGAATTCCTGGTTTGTATTTATTCTTGTATGTAACACCTTTAGTTAAACCGAGACTGTTAATTCTTTGTGACAAGATGGGACTTTTGTGACTCTTTTCTTTTAATTTATTATTATTATTTTTTTACAAGGGGAAGTATTAAAGTATGTTAATAAAAATAATAATAATAAATATATAGTTTAGATAAGTTCTGGCAACAGTGAGTGTTGTCGTCATCAGGAGATCGTGCTTCGCGATACTGTCGTTCGAAAGAATAGCTATAGTTTGTAATTCCAATAAAAGCATCGTATTTTTGCTCTGCTATTCGTTTTTCAGATTTTGACATTACTAAAACTATAGCTATTCTTTCGAACGACAGTATCGCGAAGCACGATCTCCTGATGACGACAACACTCACTGTTGCCAGAACTTATCTAAACTATATATTATATTATTATTATTTTTATTAACATACTTTAATAGATATCAAGGACATAAAAAGCGCTCAGTTGTAAACAGTAAATTTTGAAGCAGCCCAGCAAGTAACTCGTAGAGATCGCCACCCAGTCAGAACTGTGCAAGTCTATGAGCAAGTGGATCAAGTGATTGCTGGTTTAGATAATGTAACCAGACAAATTAATTCTTTGATACGGGAAAGGAGTGAGAAGAAACTGACTCTAAAGTGTTGAAATTGTGGTGCTGAGGGCCGTGTTGGAAATGAATATGGTTATATCGTTTTATATTTACCTTTTTGGAATCGCAACAAAAATTATATTGTTTACTTAGAGTATTCTATCTGTCAGTTGAGTTTAAAAATGTTAATAAAAGATGTGAGTCTGTTCTAATCACGTTTTCGCATTCTTTACGTAAAAATAACCACCGTAGTATTTTAAACCCGGTGAAGAGGATTTTTATTTTCTGGGGCAATTGCGCCACATTTTGGCGCCTGGAACAGGACTTTTAAATAAAAGTCAGTCATAAATTGAACTACGGTGTTAAGTTTCATTTCTGATTCAAAACTGTGCATTAAGATTATGGATACGAGAGAACAAAGAGTTCTTCGGCGATTGTTCACGTAGAAGCAAATAATTTAGAAGAACTTATCTCCATTAGAGGGGATAAAACAGAACTGAAAGCAAGATTTGAAGCATTAAAAAATAAAATATGAAAGAATTAATGCTCTAAATTCCACTCATTTAGAAGAAATTCTGAAAGTAAAAATGTGACAGAAGATAAGTGGAAGAGGAAATGGCGAAATGCGGTGAGTACGAATTAAGATTTCTTAAAATTAAAGAAACAATTTTTACTGAAACAGTATTCTCATATGCTGAAGCTATATGTCAGACTGGGCTCAAAACTCAGATAAAATTACCTAAGATATAATTAACAAAATTTGAAGGAGATTTAAGAAACTGGACTGGTTACAGGAGACAGTTTACTAAAATTCATAATGATCATTCTTTATCAGATGAAGATAAATTTGAATATTTGAGACATAGTATGAAACCTGTGTCATCAGCACAAAAATTAATCGAAGGTTTTCCACCGTCAAAAGAAAATTATCAGAAAGCTATAGAGCTTTTAAAATCCAGATATGAGAAGGAAGAATTTTTAATAGAATTCTATGTTCGTGAATTATTGTCTCTAGTTCTACTAACAGGGAAAAATATTCCAATTTCGCAACTCTATGACAAACTAGAGACACAGTTACGTGCTTTAGAATCTTTAGGCGTAACTAAAGAATAATATGCAGCGATGCTTTTCCGATTAGTTGAGTCAGCTATTTCAGAAAACATTTTTAATATCTGGGAAAGATACCGGGTAACTAAAAAGGCTTCGACTAAAAATCCTGATGATTGTTTATGCGAGTTATTGGAATTTTCAAAAATAGAAGTAGAAGGTGAGGAAAGATTAAAACTTAGAAATGGTTCTTTTAATGACGAAAGAAAATTTCCTTTTTAACTAGCGAAACAAAAGGTAATTCGAGAATTAACAGCAGAAATAAAGATATTCCTACGGATGCTGCCTTAGTTTCAACAGAGAATTCTCGAATTAAAGAAAGAGTTTGCATTTTTTGTGATAGAAAAAGTCATAATTCTCAAGACTGTGCTACAGCTGCTGATTCTTCAATTGATGAACGTAATAAAATACTGAAGAAGAAAGGTGTTTGTTTTAAATGTTTAAAGAACGGGTCATATAAGTTCAAAATGTCGAGTTTTTGTAAGATGTGCGTTATGTAAAGGTCAGCATTATTCTATAATGTGTTCCAAAATTAGAAATTATGAAAATGATAAAACTTCTCAGAATGAAAATGAATCAGAAGTAGTTAAAACTTTATCTATTTCATCTAACTATTCCGTTCCATATCTAGAAATGCTGAATGCGCATATTGTTGTTGATAATAAAACATATCCAGTGAGAGTATTATGTGATTCAGGCTCTCAGAAAAGTTATATTAAGAATTCGATTGCAAAAGAATTTAACTTGATACCACAGCGCAAGGTAACTTTATCGTAAGCATTGTTCGGTGGTAAGAAGATTCCGTTCTCGACATATGATATGTACAAAACTAAGCTATCAAGGCTTGATTCTAAAATTGTTTTTGAATTTGATGTTATTGGATCTGATCAGATTTGTACCAACGTACCAAAATTTAAAAATGAGAATGTTTATCAAATCCTTAAAAGTAAAGGAATTGAGATAAGTGACTATTTAAAAGATAATCATTATTCGGAAGATATCCAGGTATTATTTATTAGGCGCAGAAGCTTGGGCGAAAATTGTAACACCTGAGGTGGTTTCTGTTGAAAAGAATTTAGTGGCTATCAGAACCACTTTAGGTTGGACACTCTTAGGTAGAAGTTACGATCCAACGTGTATTTTTTCTTGTTTACTTATTTCAATGAAATGCTCTATTGAAACATCGAAATTTTGGAAGTTAGAAAAACTAGGAATTTCAGATCCTGTTGAAAGAATTATACAGGAAAATAAAGATAAAGAAATCGAATCACACATTAATGAAGCCACAGAAGTGATGTCTACGGCTGGGTTCAACCTTAGAGGTAGGAAAAGTAGTTTAGATTTGAATGAGAGTCCAGAAAATGCGCTCGGTCTTCAGTGGTACCGCCCACCAGATGAATTGGGATGCCGAATAGTATTTTGGTCTGAAGCTCCCACAAGACGAATCCTCCTCTCATGCATTCAGAAAGATTTGATCCTATAAGAGTTTCTTCACCAGCTCTGCTTATTCCAAAGATTATTTTGCAGAAGAATTGGAAATTAAAGTCTGACTGGAACGAGGAACTACCAGAAGACATTCAGAAAGAATTCAGTAAATGGGCTACAGAAATACATTTTTTGAATGACTGCCGAATCCCAAGAAGAATCTTCATTGATTCAACAAGCTCTTTACACGTCTTCTGCGATGCATGTAAACTAGCTTATGGTGCCTGTATATTTTTAAGAACGGAAGAACATGAAGAAATTTACTTGAGTCTCGTCCTAGCAAAATCCCGACTTACCCCATTGAAAGAGATCCCTTTACCGCAGTCGGAATTAATGGCCGCACTTCTGGGTGTAAGATTATATCAATTGGCTATTAAAAGCTTGAATTGTATAAACACGAAAACTTATTTTTGGTTAGACACTTCAGTGGTTTTAGCATGGCTAAAGAAGCGAAATAATTGGTCTGTTTTTGTAGAAAACCGATTTAAAGAGATTCAAGGTTACAGCAAAAGAAGGATGTTGGAAACATATACCAGGGATCTTAAACACTGCTGATTTATTGTCAAGAAGGCTGTCCATTGCAACTCCTAAAATCCCAATGGTGGACAGGACCTGAATTTCTGAAGAAATCTCCAGAAACTAGGCCTTCAAATGATCCTGATTTTGATAGGAAAGAAATCGATAAAGAACGACGTCGAACTGTCATTTCGTCGAAGAATTCAACGGTTGAAACTATTCTAGCTAAACTTGCCTGCAGATTTTCGAAAATATTCTATGATTGTACGAACTATTGCTTGGATGTTAAGATTCTGACCCGCTTATATGAAAAACGAAAATAGTTTGGCTGATATATACACTGAAGAAGTCGAGAAAGCCGAAAAAGCTTTATTTTTCTTACACAAAAGGATGCTTTTGAAGAACGAAGAAAGTCTGATTTGAAAAATCTTCACATTTTCGTTGATGAGAATGGAATTTTAAGAATGAAATCTCGAGTTTTAGATTCTTCAGATTTGCTGGAATATACATTCCTTATATTGCTACCTTCCAAAAATGTAATTGTAGAAAGAATTATCAACTACACTTAGAACATAAACATGCTGGAACATAAAAACTTCTAATGAATTTATTGAGAATTTGGAACTAGAACTATATGAAATTTATTGATTTTCAATAGCCTTTTAAAATTTTAGTTTAGAACTTTAAATTATATTGATGTTGCAAAATCCCCATTTTGCAAGGTAGGGAGAATTTTGGAAATGAATACGGTTATATAGTTTTATATTTACCTTTTTGGAATGGCAACAAAAATTATGTTGTTTATTTAGAATATTCTATCTGTCAGTTGAGTTTAAAAATGTTAATAAAGATGTGAGTCTGTTCTAACTACGTTTTCGTATTCTTTTCGTAAAAATAAACACCGTAGTAGTTTAAACTCGGTGAAGTGGATTTTTATTTTCTGAGTCCATTTTGCCACAGACCACGTACGAAAGAACTGCACAACACCCAAGGGCACGGAAAATAAAACAGACGATTTGACAAGAGCAGTCAGTGCCTTCAGACGTAATAGGAGTGGAAAAAATCCAATTCTAAAGTGATGGAACTGCGGTGCTGAAGGTCACGTACAAAGGAACTGCACAACAATCCAGAGCACGAAAAATAAGACAGACGATACAAACAGGAAATTAAATGGCCATGAAACGGAAAAGGAGTGACAAGAAACCAAAGCGCTGGAACTGCGCAACTGAAAGCCAAGTACGAAAGAACTGCAGAAAACCAAGAGGTCGGAAAATAAGAACATTTACCAGCAACGACGCGGGAGAAAAGTTAATGACCATATCAACGAGCGGAGTTTGCCAGATAATGAAGAACCCCGTTTAAAAGCGCTCAAGATTTCTACAGTGAATGGCAACAGTAATGGACTCCCATCAAAGGGCATATCAATGGAATTCCTTGCAATATGATCATTGACACAGGAGCTAATGTTACCATCATTCGGAAAGATTTAGCTCAACAATTTAAAGATAAACTCATTTAGACGCCATCCTGTTTTACCCTCCAGACTGGGTCTGGTGATAAAATCGCCATAGAGGGGAAGTTAAACGTTAACATCACGTTTGGAACTGCCGTCTACTATCACACGCCATATGTGGCAGATATTACAGATCGTTGCATAGACGGATTGGACTTTTTAAGGAAATACAATTTTTCCTTGGACTTCAAAAACAAACAGCTTTCAGCATCAGAGGACACAACTATCGATCATCAGAAGAAATCCTCACCTAGAAAACGCCGAGGTCTTGTCTGAAAGACCCTGCTCAGAAAGCTGCGAAATAGGGTTAGTTAGTTCTAAGCACTGGCCCCCAGCCCACCTAGCAGGCGAAACCTGCCATACGGCTATGAGGGGACAAAATGCCGAAATAGCTATGCCGAAATAGGGTATACGAAATAGGGAATACTAGGTTCGAAGAGAAATGCGAGACTATCGGCTATTCTCCATTCCAGATCCTCATCGGTCGTGACCTTCGCCTGCCTTGTGATGTCTTGTTCGGTCGCCCTCCGTATGAGCCTTCATCGCCTGAGGAATACATCCAAGATCTCCAGGCCCGGTTTGAAGTGATGCACAATTTTGCACGAGAGCGAGTCAACTTGGCAACGGAGAAGATGAAGACCCGATACGACACAGGAGCTACTGGACATCGATTCAACGAAGGAGACAAGGTGTGAATGTGGAATCCGACTCGACAGAAAGGACTCTGTCCGAAATTACAGTCCCATGAGATCGTCCGTACACAGTCCTAAACAGGCTGAAGGACGTCGTGGTTCGGATCCGTAAGTCATTGAACTCTAAGCCTAAAGTCATTCATTAAGACAGGTTAGCTCTTTACTATGGCCATAGTACGTAGTGTATGTAATTTTAAAAAGTGTAAGAACATGGTCCTTTTTGTTTCTAACTTAGTGTTTGATTTGATCTCCTATGTTTAGTATTTGAACTGTTTTAAGTTACTTATTGCAATTATTGATTATGTTGCTTGTTATTGTAATGTAATATGTATTGTTCCTTGATGCCTTAGTTGTAGGTTTGGCTTCTTGCCCAGGGATTATACTGCCCGGGACTTGCAGTTCTTGTGAATGGGGCAGTGTTACGGATTTTGTTATCAAGAGTTATTTGCCTAGGATGCGACATGCCTTCAAAGCACGAATTTAAATAAAATTAAAAAGAACTTTTATGATAACAGTTGTAAGGATGATGTTAATTTATTTAACAGTTAAATTTTGAGCTAAAGTTCCTTTCCTGTCTTCCTAAATTTCAACTTACATCTTCCGGTCAGAACGTAACTTTAGAATAGCGTTTGAATGCAAATCGAACAGAAGTATTTAACAGTGAAGTTCTACTGACTTCGTTAGAAAGGACCACTGTTTCTGGCTAGCACGCGTCCGCCTTTTTAGGCTACTCTCTCTTAACTTATTATTACGCTCAGCCGTACTTTAGGCCCTTGATAGGTTCGCCGTTATTCAGCTTTAAGGGGCCAACTTGGTTAGAATCTCGATAGCTTCGGCTATATCTTTTTAGTTCAGATTAGTTAAATTTTAGTTATTAGTTCCTAAGTTCAAGCCCGAGTGACGGCTTTATTGTAAAACTCCCGACGGAGTTCTGTGAAATTTTATTGGAATAATAAAGGGTAATTTCTCCCTTCTTACGTGTTGTCTCTATATCACGAACTCAAGCGATTAGTCACTTACCAGTTCTTAAGATTCTTCAACTTTAACTTAAGTACGCAGCAAAGAATCTTACACTGGCGCCCGAAAACTTTTGAATAGACCATGTCCTTAGAGAGCGGAAGTTTACGTTGACCCTCCTCCCGACCTTTCAGGTCCCTCAGACGTAAACGAGTCCAATGGAAGGATTTGGATTTATTGTAAAAACGATGCGTGCGGTGATGAAGCCAGCCGCAACATTTGACGGCAAAGGCTCAGTGACTGACCTTCCTGGAGCAATTGGACCTGCATTTTACCTTATATCCAGTGAACCAGCTGCAGAGAATTACAATCGCTACTAAAAACCTAAAAGGTCAAGGTCTCAGCTGGTACAAAGGAATTGGCAAGTTCTTGTTGGGGGATCCAGGTTTGGAAACGTACATTTGAGAAAAAATCAAGTCTGCATTATTAACCGGCGAAGCGCTATCGCGCTTCACTTGTCGTATGCCAAAAATACAGCGCAGCACGATAGCGCTTCTCTTGTTTTGTATCGAGAATGCGAAGACGCTGCTGTTGATTAGTATACTTTACGCAATTATTGAGAGCAGTTGTAGTGATATCAGTAGCAGTTGTTTTATAGGAATTGGAAATTGTTTTCATTTTTTTACCAAGTGTTATACTAATAATTACGAAATAACCCATGTCAAGTTCTGTTTCATTTGAAAGTGACTATGTTATGAGAAGTGATAATGAAGAGTATAGTAATGACCTTGAAAGTGATAGTGGAAGTGACATCATCATTCGTTCTAAGAGATTACGAGTTATTAGTGATAGTAGTCATGATGATGAAGTAACTGCAAGTACCTCCGATGACAATATTATTGATGAGTTTTTACCCGTGGATACAATTTTTTCGAACTAATCGGATACTTTTTCTGAAATACCTGGGCCAAAGCATGCCCCTTCACCTGACGCGAAACCAATTGAATATTTCAATAATTTGTTTTCAATTTTCAATAATTGTTTTCAAGTATACTAACCAACAGCAGCGTCTTCGCATTCTCGATACAAAACAAGAGAAGTGCTATCGCGCTGCCCCGTATTTTTGGCATACGAACAAGTGCAGCTCGCGCCGTACTCAAACGGTTAAAATCATTTCCGATTGTGAAAGACCGTGCGAAGCTAGCGTCAGAATTAATTAGCAAAAATCAAACCAGATTCAATGTTTTGACGGAGTTCATTCTAAGGAAAATTCAAGTATTCAATCTATTGTACGGGAAGAGACTCGATTGCGAACTTATCGAGGTGATTCTATGGCGTTCTACTACCGTCAGCTCAAGCTTTTCTTGAAGTTCGCAACCCTCAAACAATGGAAAACCTCTTCCAGCTTGCGGTGAAATTCCAAAGCAGAAGAATTGCGGAGAACGCCTGTGCAAATCAGTTCCGACAACATTCGAGGTTTTCTCCGCAGAAGAAACCTCAAGTTCAGCAAAGTGCATATCGGTAGAGGGAGACCGGAACAGTCACCGGCCAAGCAGATTCAATCAGGAAAATGTTCTTTTTTTTTTATTTAATTTGATAAATATGTTGAAAAAAGTCACAATGTCATGTTTGTCATATTTACGTAATGTCATATTTACGCATATTTCACTGTCATATTTACGCATCACTTTTAAATTCACTTTACATCAAAAGTCATAGTTGCTTTATTACCATTTACCATCTTTTCACGAAATCTTAACTTTAAGTTAACAGTCTTTCCGACTAAAAGATATTCACAATTGAATTCTGGCAACTTGCGAGTTCTTAACAAAAATATTTACTATTAGATTCTGGCCAAATTGCGAACACAAAAATCT